TCCAGCCCCTCTGCCCAGTCTGGAGTGTTCCATGGGGTTCTTGAGACCCAAGTGCAGGACCCAGACTTGGCCTTGCTGACCCTCACCCCGTTGGCCTCAGCCCATCAATCCCATGGATCCAGCCTGTCCAGATCCCTCTGCAGAGCCTTCCTGCCCTCCAGCAGATCTACAGTCCCACCCTGGTATCCTCTGCAAACTGCCTGAGGATGGCTTCAATTCCCTTGTCCAGATGGTTGATAAAGACATTAAACAGAGCTGGTCCCAGTACTGAGCCCTGGGGACACCACTGGGGACTGGCCACCAGCTGATGTCACTCCCTTCCCCACCACACTCTGGGCCCAGCCCTCAGCCAGCTTTTTATCCAGGTAAAAGCAGCACAAACTTGATCTGTGCTGCCTGAGCACAGCTCTGGGCTTGCCTGAACACAAGCCCAAACCAGCACCTCAGCAGCTTCAGGCCGGCTCGAGGAGGAAGGAGCCTCTTCAGCTGACAGAACTCAACATTTTTGTGCCCAAATATTAACCAGCAGGCTGAGGTTTGTCCCAGTTTTTTGTTGCTTACACCACAGGGCTGTGACATCTAATATAGCATTAAAAAATACTCTAAACTAGATTTACTGTCCCTGAAATCCCAGCTGAAATCCATCACTGACCTGTACTTGGATCTGCAGAGATTTCCTCCTTCTCCAAGTGCTGCTGTTCAGGGCAGCGTGGCTCCTCCTCTTGTTTAATCCACGATGAAACACCCATTGCATAAGTCTGAAATCCTGTTTGTTGGGGGCAGAATTTGCACAACTGAGAAACCCCAGGGAAAGCACTGGGAGATTTGGGAATTCACAACCACGGGGGGGACACAACACCAGGAGGGGTAAATCCTGCAGTGGGGGTTTTTGCCATGGAATCCTCCTCACCTGTGTCAGGGTGTCTTGGAATGTCCTCACCCTCGGTGCCTGGCAGCTCCCTGGCATCCACCTCGTTGCCTTTCCTGGTCTGACTGGACGCCTCAGGATCACAAAACGTTTGCTCTGCTAAAGGAGAAAATCCAGGAGAAGTGTGTTGTACCTCCATAAACTCAGGATTTCACAAGGCTGAAACCTGCTCTGGGTTTGGGCTTGGTTTTCCCCCAGGCCAAGCTCCCATAAGCCCAGTTTCTTAAGGAAACCTGATGGAAAAGTCTGAAAATCCATACAATTCCAGTGGAGCCAACAGGTAGCAGTTGATACCCTTTGTGAAGAGTGAGGAAAATCTCCAAAGCAGGGCAGTTTATTTGTAAAACAAAGAGGTTCCAAGTGAGAGGGCCAAGAACAGGCCCCTGGGCTGGGTGGCCTCCCCGAGGGGTCCATGGGCTGCTCCTGCAACCAGGAAAACCCCAGAAGGGAAGGGAGGAGGGAAAAGGCACCTGAAGGCTCTGGATCTGCAGGGATAGAGGCACTGCCAGAGGAATGGAGCTGAGGAGCTGCTGCAGCTGCTCCAATTCCCCCAGAGCCAGAACAGCCGGATCCTGCCTCCACGCTCCAACCACGGGCTGGAACACTGACTTTGCCTCCTCCAAGTTAACCCACTGTCCCCAAAAAGTGACTGATTTGCACTAAATATTTAACCAGTCTAGATTTATCGACTTGAGGGAAGCAAAGTAAGGAATTTAGGGGAGAGTGAAACATCTCCTGCTTGGATAAAAACCAGCCAAACTCCAAAAGTGCCACGAGAAGGGAAAGAGGCAACACCAGCCCTCACCTGTCGGGGCTGCTGGCAAGTCTGCTCAACACTTCTAAAAGATCTGGAATACAAGAAAAGAGGTGGGGAAGAAAACCCCACATAACTTGGAATTTAATCCCTCTGGTTCATTTTCTCTCCCAGGTATGCAGTTACTCACCTGGGCAGGGCTCTCCAGGAGCTTCTCCAGCCTCCTCCTCCTCCTGAACCGCAGTGCACAACTCCTCCTCTTGCTTAATCTGGATTATGCTGTCTTCTGTCAATGGGAACCACTGTTATTTTAATTCCATACCTAATTAATTCCAATTCTCGGCCCATCCCAGGCAGAGCTGCTCTGTTCCAGCTCACATTCCAGAGAACACCTAACTCCAGTTCCAGTTCCCGCTGACCAAGGTCTCTTGAACAGACCTAAAATGTTGGCTGCAAAACCCTCAGCAGATATCTGAGCCTCAGAAACACATAAAACTGTCATGCAAGTGAAAACATGTTCTCCACAGCCCCGGGAGAGGACAGAGCCACTGCAATTCTTGTTCTTAAGTTTTGTTTCTCTCTTGGCACCACTGGAGTTCTGTCATTTCCTTTTCAGTCCCTCTCAGTGAAACCAGTCACAGAAACACTGGTGAGAAGAGTGTTCTTAGAGAGTAAGTAATGAAATTTACAGAAAAAAGAAAACTAAAGTCTGTAGAATTTTTAAGGGAAAGCAGAAGGGCCAGTGCTCTGCACCTTTACAGAATCCCAGAATGGTTTGTGTTGGAAGGGACCTTAAAGCTCATCTCATTCCACCCCTTGCCATGGGCAGGGACACCTTCCACTAGCCCAGGTTGCTCCAAGCCCTGTCCAGCCTGGTCTTGGACACTTCCATAACCTGATCAATGAGCTGGGGGAACACTTAACACGTGTTTAAAACCATTGTGCATGTTTGTGCACAACGGAATGAAAAATCCTCTTGCCAGCCAGACTTCACACTGGAAAACCCAAATCCATCCTGCTTTGTCTGACAGTGCAGACCCGGCCCAGGCCCAATCCAAGGGGACAGAGGGAGTGCAGCTCAGCAACCAGGAGAGGGAAAAGAAGGGAATGATGGAGCATCCTGGGAAGGCTGGGGGATGCCTGACAGCTACGTTTGGAAGATCACACTCAGCACAGCGAGCACCTTGGAGACAGGCTGGTCATTGAATCATGGAATTGTTGAGGTTGGAAAAGGCCTTGGAGATTATCAAGTCCAACCACTCCCCCAGCACTGCCAAGGCCACCACTGGCCCACGTCCCCAAGTGCCACATCCACAGGGCTTTGAAATCCCTCCTGGGATGGGGAGGGCAGCCTGTGCCAGGGCTGGACAGCCCTCTCCAGGAGGAATTGTCCCAGTATCCAACCTGACCCTCCCCTGGCACAGCCTGAGGCCGTTCCCTC